AACAAAACTCATATTATAAAAGGAGGCATGTAAATACATAAGAAAAAAAATCACAAAACGAGCTAAGCTTTGAAATAGGAGAAGCCTGCCAAGGAACAGTGATAAAAGAAAATGGGCATAATTAAGTTGATTTTGTGAGTGAAGACCATGTCCCAGAAAAAGGCAGCACTGGATGGGGTTCTGGGGGCGAGGAGACCAGGCCCGTGTTCTCAGGTTACTTATGGTGTCCCACATTTGTAAGGACCTTTATCCATCTGTTCATGGGTATTGTCTCCTTGGACCCCAACATCATCCCCGAGTGGAGTTGGAAAATCCCAGAGCGTTTTGTCCTGCCTTGCCTCCCTCTGCTGAAGCTGGAACAGAGATGGGCCGATGACACCATGGAGACTGCTTCTCGGGTGAACAGCTCTCCCTCAGCTTACGCCGAGTCATCAGTCGCCAGTGTGAGGGTTTTATAACAGAATGTCTCACTCTTCAGTAGTTGGACGTGGACGCGTCCTTCTCTGCGCCTTGTCTGCAAGTTCCTTGAGGGCAATGCTGTCTTTGTCTACACACTCTGGTAACTGTTGTGTCATCACCAGTTGGTCCTGATACGTGTGTATTTGTGTGCGTGTGTGTGTGCTCTAGGAAGAAAATGTGCCGCCAGTGTCTTTTCTGAAGGTCTTGAAATTGAATGAGACGGAATGGCCATACTTTGTGGTCGGCACATTGTGCGCCATGGCTAACGGGGCTCTGCAGCCGGCGTTCTCCATCATATTCTCAGAAATGATAGCGGTAAGTTTGCAGACATCGCTTAGCAGCTTGAGTTAAATCCGTTCTCATCCCAGCCTCACCACTGGGTGCATTTTGGAGTAAAGCAGCCCCAGATTAAAGTACGCCGAAGTTTTAAATTCCCTTCTGAGGAAAGCTGTGAGGCAAAAGAAAAAGTAGCCTTTCAACCCATTCCAAGTTAGGATATTAATGATATTATAAGTCAAAATCACTGACGGAGGCCTTTCGTTATGTCTCTTCATTGGGGTGAAACTGGGGTCAGGCAGTCATCCCCTTCCCACCTGTGGAGACGAGATGCATGCTCACAGCGTGGCTGGGGGCAGGGTGGGGGGCGGGTGAAGGAAGGACAGGCTCAAGTCACAGCCTCTGAGCGGCCAGGTGCTCGGCACAGGCTGGACCGCCACTTCCCAGCTGTGCAGAACTTGGGCTAGATGCTGTCCCTCCTTGTGCCTCAGTTCCTTCATCTCTAAAATAAACGTACCTCACAGGATGGCTGAGGATGGAAGGAGATTATATAGATAACTCTAAGGTGAAGCGTTTAAGAGTGTCTGCTTTGAAGTAAGCATTCAAAAAGCAATAGCAAGTACATCATTGCTTGAGCAATCCTTCCAAGGCCTGGGGAGTCAGAGACCTAGAAGACTCAGACGATCCAGTTGTTAACTTCAGTGGGGGATGTTTATAGGAACTTACCAGAAACGATGTGAAAGTTCTGGATGTGGGTAGTGGTGAAGGTTGCACCACATTGTGAATGAACTTCATGCCACTGCATTGGATACTTAAAAATGGTTACAATGGTAAATTTTTTGTTGTAGATATATTACAATAACCCCCCCCCACACACACACACACGTTCAAAGCCTCGTGTTTCAACTGTGACGCTCAAGTCATTTTTTTTTATGGCAAGAGTGAAGAGGATCTTGTAATCCAAATAGGCATTTTAAATGTTCTTTTGTAGGTTTTTGGACCAGGGGATGATGAAGTGAAGCAGCAGAAATGCAACATGTTCTCATTGCTTTTTTTAGGTCTGGGAATTATTTCCTTTTTTACTTTCTTCCTTCAGGTAGGTACCTATTTCATCTTCTCATCAAGTCTACATTCTGTTAGACAATATAAATTATCTATTAGCTAGATTGTCATTACTTATTAATACACAGTAATTATCAGTTAATCAAAACCTAATGGAGCTTCCAAATCTTAGATTGAAATGAATTGCAGGGACGCCTGGGTGGCTCAGATGGTTAAGCATCTGCCTTCGGCTCAGGTCATGATCCCGGGGTCCTGGGATCGAGTCCCGCACAGGGCTCCCTGCTTAGTCGGGAGTCTGCTTCTCCCTCTGCTTGCCGCTCCCCCTGCTTGTGCTCTCTCTCTGTCTCTCTCTCTCTGACAAATAAATAAAAAGCTTAAAAAAATGAATTGCAAATGCAGTGTGTGAGGCTCTTTCAGAGAGCAGTGTCCTTAAGCGGAAGGATTTGTGACTTCCCTGTGTGCTAAATTCTATTACATTCCAGGTTTGCCCACAGCAAACACTGATTACAAAGGAAAAAAAGAGACTTGAATTCATAGGAGAACATAAGTTCCAGTTAAACTCATGATAAACCAGAAAAAAAAGTCAGTACAACAGTATTTTCTGTTGTGACTCTGTGTACAATATGAAGTAACTGCTCTGATTTCTTCCTCCTTGATGGATGAACTCTATGAAAAAACATGTGTTCTCTTGCATTTAGACACCGTGGCCCTGGCCAGAGTGAACTAGTCAGCCCTGCTCTGTTTGTCCTCTTCAACCTAGACTCCTAGTACATTTCTTCTGTCTCTGTACCTCAGCACCACGTGGACCTTTCTAACACAGTCCATTGTGTCAGCAAAATGACCTTTCCTAGCCCCGTCCAGCGTGCTTGTCTTCTGTCGTTGTTGGACCGATGGGAAAAGCAAGGGAAGCATTTTATTCAGAAATCGTTGCCTCACTAATAGTAGCTCAGGGCTGCAGTCCGGCCCCAGGCCTCGGTGTATTTAGGGAGTGGAGCTGGATTTATAAATGTGTTTTGGAGGCTGGGACAACAGTGGGATGACACATAAGATGGCGGTGCCCACACGGTCCTTGAGCGATGTGCCCGCCAAGGAAGGAGGAGACCAGAGGCGTCAGGCCAGTCTCGGACACCTGGGGCTGACACCTCCCCAGGCTCTGAGCACCCGTCCTCCTGGCTTCATAAAGACTCCTCATGTGTCCTCCCCAGAACACACTCTCCATACCTACACCAACACTCAGTGTGCCTGGAGGTTCTCGCCCATCCCAGGGGCCCTGGAAGCAGGCCCAGCTGTGGACATCTGGGTTGCTCTTCAGTTGGAACATGGTATAGCTTAGAAAGAGGGAAATTTTCTGGCAGGAATGCTTGGGGATAAAGAATAGTTGTTCCCCAATCTGAGAGTAGGTGGAGCTGTGACAGAGAGCCAGCAAACCCATTTGGAACTTGTTACTACAGGCATCCTCCTTCCCTCTGCCCTCCCCTCTCCACTACAGGAGCCAAAATGTATCCCTGCAGAGAGTTATGTTACTTCTGCTTTCAACTGCCTGAAGTATCAGGAACACACTGAGAGTTGTAATTATGTATGGTATTGTTCTTACTGAGATGTTGTCCTTGAAAGTTTGGAAAAGGAAATAGATTTAGAATGTTTTCAAAGCCAGAACTGGACTTTTGTCAGGTTTCTGGTGTTAGGATTCTTTCTGCATGCTAATGATCAGGTAGTACATGAATTTGAAGTTGGGACTTCGAATTGGTGTTTGGTCATAGACTTGTGTTACCTGAATAGCAGATTAATATGTAAGTAATGTAAAAGTCAATGTGAATATACCTGCTTCGGTCAGAATACTAATGATCAAAAAGGCACAATAGCTTTTCCTCCCCCCCTCAACCAGGGCTTCATGTTTGGGAAAGCTGGGGAGATCCTCACTACCAGGCTTCGCTCGTTGGCGTTTAGAGCAATGCTAAGACAGGTAGGTGTGTGCACTGGAGAATGCCTTCTCTCCGGCTTTCTTTCACTCGAAGCCTGTTTCTATTGTTCTGGGTGTGCTGTAATTCACGTCTGTACCTGCCTGCCCCATCCATGCGTTCCTGCAGGGACTGGCCAGCATCCAGCACACTGTCCTGTTCTTTGAACATCCTGTCCTGGTCTTTGAACATCCACAGTCTTCTCAGAGATCTCATGGGAGTAGGCTTGGTTTCGGTAGCTTTGAGGGGTTATTTTGCCACGATTTCTATGCATGTGGATACTGTCATTTCAAGGACCTGTAGCTCTTCTCTGGATTCTATGCGGGCCCTAGCAAGGCATTTGAGACTCCAGGATATCGTTAAACAAAGGAAAAGGTGGTAGGTACTATTCATGATTGACTATGCTAACAATTTTCCCAAATGTTGGTAACTGTTTTGGTTTTGTCTTATTTGAGCTCTGTTTTCATATTGATTCCTTTGTTAATTCACTCAGTCATTACCAACTAATGTACCAGTGTGCTGGTAGCTGGGACTATAAAATGCATTATCTACCCTATTGAGAAGTCCACAGTCTAGTGTGGGACATGTGGGAAAATGTGCAAATTTCAATTCTCTGTTTTTATAGAGGAGGCTTAAGAGAGGGCCAGAATATTACCTATGCCCTTCACAGGAGTTGATTATATTCCTGTTCACAAAAGAGCCCATAACAGTTATCCTATTTTGGGCAGGTCTGAGTTTACAGACTTTTTTCCAGTATCTTTTAAGTGTTGCTAGGTAGGGAAAATTACTTTCTATGAAACTAAAGGTGCTATGGATGAGTAGCCTATAGTTAAAATCATTTTTAACATACACCTTTCAATTCTTGTTTTAAAAAAAAAACAAAACACAGTGAGAAACTAGGGCTGATTTTCTCATGCCTAGATTTTCAAGAGTTGTGTTGAGCACAACCCCAGCCCCTTTATGACAGTCATGACCGCATCAGGGAGGAAGTGTCCGTAGTGTAAGTTGTAAGGATTCGGTGACGGCATGCCCACCTGTGCTCCCCACCTCAGGTGCAGCTGGTGTGAGCACAGCTGCAATCTAGAGAAGCCCTACCCCATCCCCTGGCCCCCAGCAGAGCAGTGTGGAGCCGGGGTCCTAGTGGACCCCAAGGGTGCCTGCTCATGTCAGGGACCAGGGCTCTGCACTGCATGTCTCCTCTCCCCTAACTCCAGGGCCAAGTTAGGGGTGGATATTTCCAGCACTGAAGGTTGTGGAAGTTTCATCTACTTTTCTTTGCTTGTTTTAATTTCGAACTCATTTAAAGGTGTGTTTTGTGCCACAGGACATGAGCTGGTTTGATGATCATAAAAATAGTACTGGTGTGCTTTCTACAAGACTTGCAATGGATGCCTCCCAGGTCCAAGGAGTATGTAGACTTCATTCTATTTTTCTTTAATGTGTTTTTTTTTTTTTTTTTAGGTTTTATTTATCCATTTGAGAGAGAGTGAGTCAGTAAGCCCCCGGGGTGGGGGGGAGCAGAGGGAGAAGGACAAGCAGACTCCCCGCTGAACTCTGAGCCCTCCAGCCACGGCACTTGGGCTTGATCCCCAACCCTGAGATCATGACCTGAGCCAAAATCAAGAGTCAGACACTTTAACCAACTGAGCCACCTGGATGCCCCTTCATTGTGGGTTTTGAATTAACATAGAGCGTAGCTGCATCAGTTAAGCTGCTTTCTGCTGCAAATGACAGAAAAACTCAAACTGACCTAAACATTAAGAGGAAGGCTGGACTTCAGGCTTGATTGATTCATTGACTCAAAAATGTCATGAAGGACACAAGTTTCCTGTGTGTGTGTGTGTGTGGCCCTGAGTGGCTTTGAGTCCTCCGAGGGGGCTTCATCCTAATGCTCCTTGCCTCGTGGCCACGGGATGGCTGCCGGCCGCAAATGGAACAGTCCAGTGAGGGAACACCCACCCGTACCTCAACCACAAACCACCACCTTCCCTTAAATCTAAGTTTTTGGCTACTTGGGGTCATCTGCCCAAGCCTCAGTGGCTTACTGTCTCTGGGGACAGCCGTGTTCTCCTTGGCTGAGGTCCCCAGCCTTGGAGCTGAGGGCTGTTACTTTGAAGCTGCCGGCTTCCACCCAAGCCGGAATCAGAAGCGGTGGGAGAGTCACCCGCAGGGCCCAGTGCACCTGCCCTCCTTTTCTGAGCCCTACAAACAGTAATTCAGCTCCATGTGTGCTTGGTGGTGGATGGTCTCTTAGGATAGAAGCACTTTGTAGCAGATGGTCTCTTGGGGGTGTGTACATTTCCCTCTTAGCCATGTGCAGCAAAGGGTTCTTAAAATGACCAGAGTATACTAGGGTTCGTTTTCTCTTTAAATGTTGCCTTTGTGCCAAAGTACCTGCGCCCCACATCCTCTCCCCAAGCTGCTGACCTGGTTTTGTAAGGCTGAATTGGTGTGGGCAGGCCAGGAATGAGAACTGCAGGGCATGAGCAAAGAAAAACCTGCAAAGCCTCATAAGGGAGGCACGGGTGTCTTGGGTTGACTGCAAGGAAAGGGAGCAAATGTAAGCCGGGCCCACAGCCCTCTCCTCCCTGACCGGGAAGCCTCAGACTGCAGCTTATGCATTTGCAACTTAAAACACATCTCCCCCTTTGCTTTTGCTCTTGCAGGCCACTGGGATGAGGTTGGCGTTAATTGCACAGAACACGGCTAACCTTGGAACTGGCATTATCATATCCTTTATCTATGGCTGGCAGTTGACCCTATTGCTTTTATCAGTTGTTCCCATCATTGCTGTATCAGGAATCGTTGAAATGAAAATGTTGGCTGGAAATGCCAAAAGAGATAAAAAAGAACTGGAGACTGCTGGAAAGGTGGGTCAAATAAGGCTTCAGTGAGTATAAGTAGTGTTTTTAGACATGTGTTTTAGGTGATTTCGTCCAAAATGCATGTTTGGATAACTAAATGTGCTCCCTATAGCTGACAGCTGTCACCGCTGCATGGAATATTTACTGTAATCTTAATGCCGGTAACTTGATGATGGGATAATTAGTGGAAGGCTCTTAGCCTGTCAAACAGCACTTTATGTGTGGTTTTTAGAATTTCTGAATATCCGAAGTACATTTTACCTTTCACTTAATAGCCCAGTGTCATTGTTGAGACAAATATCACCCTTCTGTTACATGAGGAGTCCTTAGGGCAGAGACTATAAGTGAATCCTTTAATTGCTGGTACTTGGGAGATCATTCTTTCCTTCTTGGCTGTGATTTCTACAATTATGGTGGGTAGCCGCCAGATGGCAGTAAATGCTTCGATTTGTGGCTCCAAACTATCGTGGCAATTGGGCAAACATTCACTTGGGCCTTCCTCTGTGCCCTCTGTTGTGTTAGGTACACGCACCAGCTCATTACACCCTCACCTAATCCCATGAGGCAGCTATTACTGTTATCCCAATTTTATAGATGAGGAACTTGAGGAACTAGGTAAAGGCATGGCCGGGATTCAAGTTCTGGTTTGATTTCAAAGCTCTTGACTCTGCAGTCTCTTCATATGTATTGAAATATATCTAAATCTACATAGAAACATTTTATTTACATGTACATGCATTTAACTATTTAAACTACTGGCCAGGAGGGGCGCCTGGGTGGTTCAGTCGTTAAGCGTCTGCCTTCGGCTCAGGTCATGATCCCAGGGTCCTGGGATCGAGCCCCACATCGGGCTCCCTGCTCTGCG